ATTCTGGCCAGCATCCGCGATACTCTCGGTGACGAACCATCCACCCTGGCTGCAGTGATTGTTTTCCTCAGGTATACCGGACTCTACCACCAAATCTACCGTACTTCTTCTTCTTTCCTTTATTTAACGTCGGTCTCTGTTCCGCAATCTAGTGCCAATCTCCGACGGACATCGATTGCAATCCATTGACGGCAATCGAATGTGCAGGAAGGCAGCTTCCACTCCTGCGTAGAATATCGCACGAAAAGGCAACACACACATGGGCCGGGACCAACGGCTTTACTTCCCTTCCGAAGGAAGACGTGACCAGAGATTTTTATTTATGCCTCAGAAAAATCCCACCGACCTCGGCTGGGATTGAACCCAGACCCATTGGGGTGAGAAAGCAGTCACGCTTACCACTACACCACCGGCGCCGGTAAATCTACCGTACAGCACACTTTAAATCTAGTGTATTTTATTCTTTCGGCTGTCGGGACATCTCTCCTGGGTGGAGGCTTCACTCTGTTTTGTTCAGATTGTGTTAATTGTTTGTTCTTATTAGTCTACGTTTCCATTTGTCATTTTTGAAATAGTCTCTGACTATTGCGCAACTATGAATGTTTCTGTATGTACTTTAAACTCTGTTTTTAAAACACTACTCTGTTGAGGGTCCTCCTTCTGAGGCCCCTTTTTTCTCTTTTAAAAGAGATGAACTAGCCAACGAGCTAAAAACCTCACTAATAAAGTATTTAAAAAAAATTAAGGGTTGTATCCTAGACACGACCGCAGTACCACGCAAAATTGATGTGTGGCATGCATTTTTAACTATTAAACTTATTATTCTGACGCCTCATTCAAAACGTATCTTTTGTGCAGAATATGTAAAAAAGGATGGACTTTGGATGTTAATATAATTGCATATGGTGCCGTCACCAGGATACCGGTCATCTGGAACGAGATCTCCAATTACAACGTCGGAAGGACGAACCATCATCAGCCTAAAGCAGTGCTCGATCAAGACCTAGACGCAACCGTATCACCGTCATCGAAGTCAACAAGATGGTATTCCTAATTCCTCATCCTACAACACTTTATTCTGATTGAATCACAGCAGTTATGGCTCACTGGCAAAGTGATCATTTTTGGAGCTTTGTCCTCCAAGCTCGATTCAATCAGATCCTAATCCCTTTGCTACCTCCCGGGAACTCAGGCCTTGCACTTGGCATAGTCAGGCCAGGGTTGTCTAAGATGACACAACCGCCACAACGAGTCTCCCAGCGCCAGGATCAGCATATACGTTAGTCCCATGTCGCCTATTCCTATTCCGAATATGTTCCCTTACCTGCGGTTAATCATATCGAACGAAGCACTAGGAGGATGCCATTGCGATCCAACATCAAACTCGATGAGAGCCAGCCACCACTACCAGAGAAGCTAAGGACAAGCGGCCATGGAACCGGCATACATTCAAACAAGCACCATATCTATCAAACCAAGAATAGAAGCAGCAGCATGAACGACCATTAGAACAGAATGAACAGAAGGACGCTCAGCTCATCAGTCACCATCGCGCATGCAGTTGAGACACTATTGTTTTTAAAATCATGTAGCTATTAGCTTTTTCATACGTTCGACTTACTAGTCACTAGGAATATTTTCACAAAACTACAAATCGCAACAGGTTTAGCTTTAATCATTTCATTACGATTTAACTTTAAAAAAAATCTTTGTATTTTTGGGGGCCGGGATGTTGTGATTCACAACACTTTTGTTCTCGATTCCATGGAAATGTCATATGAAGGGCAAATCCTATGAAGCATCAAAATAGCCATGACGAAATGTAGCAGTGAAATATTTCACCACTTTGGTTCCACTGAAAAGAATTGAATCTTTATTTTGTTTCCACTTTGTTTCAAATCACAAATGACGATGGTTTAATTATTATCTATTATATGAAACTGTATAAAAGGCCAAAGATTTTAAATAAAATATTCAGTAAATCAAAATACTCCGAGTAGGCACGCTGCCTCTCGGAGGCAAGAAAAATCATTAGTTTTGATTGGATTAGCAATTCGAGTTCACTGTACCACCGCCGAGCAATTGGAGTCATCCTCGTTAACCGAAATAAACACAACGTAGGGCCTCAACATTGGATTAATCATATCACCAGATATGTTTTACAGTCAGTTATTGGTAATCCATCGAGTGTATGTTTCCTGTTGAGCAATTGTTTTTTGAAAATGTTGGCTCTCCATGTAAAAAATTAAATGTTTATACATAATTGTGGTTTCCTTAAAATTTATTTTCCGGAAAAAAATGATCGTCAAAGTTCATGTCTTTTTCGGGTTATTGTTAAGGGGGAGGGAGAGAGGTTGTTGCTAAGGGGGGGGGGGTGTAACATGCATATTTTGTCATTCTCATTCCTCATTGTGGTGGACACGCCGTGATCCACCATTAGCCGCTGACTTGGGCCTTTCTTGCTGCAGGACATAGTGCCACGCGGTATTGAGCAGAGGCAGGAGAGCAGCGCTGATTTATATCTTTTCAGGTTCAAGCAGAATGATGTGCAACCAAGTGGTATTCGTTTATGATGACTGGGTTTGGGAAAAAGGCTTATTTCATGAAAACTGTGATAAAATTATCATTTGGACATTTTCAAAGTTTAATTACAGAAAAATTGGAAAAATATTTATTTCAGAAGGTTCGTAATGTAATATCCTATCGATTGGCGTATTTGGATTTTAATTTCATATAGGGTTACGGTATGTAATGTGGGTCTAGTCCTTTCATTCGGCCTATCACGCAAATAAATAATTAATTAAGGAATATTACACAAAAAATAAGGAAAATATTGATCACTGATGATTGATAAATGTGTACCACACACAAATCAATTTATATCACAACATTTCAATACATTTTCAGCTCTCGTAAGTAATAAAACTGGTTGAGAATATCACTCTGTTCGGAGTTTTTAGCCGCCATGACTTCTAAGGTTAAGATGGGAAGGTTGCACTGACGATCATCAAATGGCCTGATTATGGCATTTATTGAATGGAATTACCTGATAATACACACTAGACGTAAAACTCACAGTTACTGTTTGAATATTTTATGTTTATTTTAATTGTTTAACAACGTTTTCACAAGTAAATCATGGACCCAACTTTAGGGACACATTTCTTTTCTATGTTCCTAACTTTGGCCCATGAAATTCATTTGACAGCATATAGCAATAAGAGTAACGTCAACAATGTGGTTTGCATTTGGATGATAAGGAACGAACAGGAAGGGAGATTTTTTCTGCCAAATCTGTATAATGAACATCACAATGTTTTGATTTAGATATTCTGCGGTCGAAAGACGATAAGCGAAATTTTTAATTTTTAATTTTTAACTTGAGTGATTTAATGTAGTTTTCGTAAAATTTTCTCTAAGAAATGTTTTGAGGAATGAAGAGTATTAAGTTAACAGTGATAGTGATAAAAAAAAAATACATAAGAAAACGTTACCAAGAGCGTTTTTTTTGAGAATCAAACAGGATAGGACGAAGTTGCATCCATAAATAGACCCAATTTGGGGACAATAGACCGATATTACATACATTTCCCTGGTGAGTTTTTGTCTTAAAAAAAGTAAGTTTTTCAACTTTTTGCGGTTCCTGATAGCAAACGACATGATAAGCATATCTAAGCATACCATTTAGCAGTAGAATATCGTTTGCAGGTAAATTAATTGATGAGTTATGATTAAAAACGTAATCTATGGCTGCATATTAGACCGAGGTTAGGGACGTATACCCTATAAATGACAAAGTTACAAGTGTTCAAAACCTAACACTCCTTCACCACACATATTTTTTGATTTGCACCCCAGTATAGTCGACAAAGACGTAATTCTACGTTAAAAATCCTTGATGATTTTGGGGCTGAAATTCCTTTTCTTTATCGTCACCACATCATACTACTGGAAGTTGAACAGGAGCCAATCTCCCGTCCCCAAAGCAGTTTTCATTCTTCACCGTTTTGAGTTCTTCTGCTGCTTTGCTGTCAGCGGTATACCTACACTGAACGAATTCCCCGTTGATATTTGGAGTATAATTTTGATAAAAAAAAATCATCGAATCAATATACAGAAATCGGTTGATCATAAAATGACTATATAGTAATATATTTGAGTGTAAGAATTCCTCCTACAGCTTGCTTCTACTCTAATTCATTTTCGACAAATTCTAGGTAATGCAAAAATGTTACATTTCGGTGAAAATTTGCGCCACCTTCCATAAATTTCTTTAAATGATAAAATCCAAGAGACAACCCGTGTTTTCATTTGTGAAGTTTCCCTGAATCCATTTTTTTATTGGAGAAAAAAAATCAGGCTGCGGGAACAACAATCCACAGTCTTGTTTGAAGGCAACACAAAGTTTCACCATTATTCTAAGTACGGTTGATTTATTATTACAGCGGCTCCAATTTGATTTCGGATAGCAAACAAATTTCGCACTTCTCGGTACGACAGCCAGTGGTAGTGGTTTACTAATTCTGCCTTTATTGTCAGTGACCCCATTTTCACTTTTCAGCCCGTTTTTTTTAATTTACGGAGACGTTAAAGTTATAGCATTTTTACAGGATGTTGCTTCTGAGTCAGACTACAAACTTAAATTAATAATAATGACGATAAAAGCACATTTTGCACCGTTCCGCCAGCCCGGCAGATTCCGAGAGAAGGCGAACTTTGCTGAGGCTGCCCCAAACATCGTCGACCAACATCTCCCCACCATATTCCACCGACGACATTGTGAGTTTTTATCACGTTAATCACCGCCAGTGGACTAATATATATTTACATTATATTACAACCCTTTACCGCTCAGACTCGGCAACACCGGTCGTAACATATAGCTAAGCTTGGCTCGAGTTTTGCTTTCACTGTAAGAGTGGAAAGTTCAAGTGGGTGTCGAACTGAACGACACCGCCATCCCATAACGATAATCTTCGCTCCGTCCGTCTTGTGCACACGTGATCTTAGCTTTCATCTCTCTCGGTAAAATATGGGTGCTGCATAGCCTGGCAATAGATAATGGGACGATTAATTGAATTAGCGGAACGCAAATTTAATTCATCAAAGTTTACTGGTAAAAACCATCTCACCTCCTCTGCTGTCAATCTCCTGGTCGGGTTGTACATCACCAACCCATCCACCAATCCTATCTCGTTCTTCGTCGTAAAACTAGGGAAAATATCTTCCCATCGTTCACCCTTGGAATTGGGAAAACGAATTTTGTTGTAGTCGGGCAGACTACGCACCTCCGGCCAGTCTTTCAAAATGGGTGTCCCCAGAGTACGGACGACCAGTGCCAACTGTTCGATGTCGGTACCTCCGGAAAACAACGGCACTCCTCGCAGCATCTCAGCAAACACGCACCCTGCAGCCCACATATCGATGGAGGGCCCGTACGTTTGACATCCCCAGAGGATTTCCGGTGCCCGGTACCATCGCGTCGCTACCTGTGGGGAGTACACCTTCGTGGGGTCCTGATCGTTGAATAGCCGTGCCAAACCGAAGTCGCAAATTTTCAGCACATCGTGCTTGTCAATTAGCAAATTGGCAGGTTTTATATCCCGATGCATGATTCGCAGTTCGTGTAAATATTTCAACCCATTCAGCAGCATGGCCATGTAGCGACGAATTTCATGCCGGGAAAGTGGGTGCTCCTCGTCCTTCATTTTGCTGTACAACGTGTGTGGCATGTACTCGAAGACAAGTGATATCCCGGAAAGGTCCGGGTACATGTCCAACAGCGATAAAATCTGCAACACAGAATGTATAATTTTCCTATCTGCACAGACATAAAAATGACATCCAGAAACCCACATTTTCACACTGCGAATTCTGCAGCACTTTGATCTCCCGTATCGTGTTCGGAGAAATCCAACCGTGCTTCGTCCGGAGGGTGAGCTTTTTAATAGCCACAATCTTGTCGTCATTACTGAGATCCCGTGCCTTCACCACAACGCCATGAACACCTTCGCCAATCCTACCGAGAAGCTGATAGCGCGGTGGCATGTAATCGTCCATTTTTGTACCGTTTCCTGCTTCGTTAATTTAGAGCAGAAAATTTCTTTAATTTTAAATTGTCAGGAACCACTTCTGAATGACGAGGAGGGAAACCAACTTGTGCGTAGATTAAATCCGGAACAAGACTGTACAAACCATTCAAATGGTTCAATGTTTATTTAGGATGTTTGCCGTTTACGTTACCATAGGGATGACGTCGTGGTTGCTTCCCCCACTCCTGCAGCTGGCGCGTTTGATCCGCAGAACACGTGTCGTCTCGCTTGAGTTCTCCTGAAGGCGGGAGGGTTGTAATAATGAGTAAATTTCATTCATGCTACCGTAATAAAATAATGCCCTATACATGCCAAGCATTCAGTTGTATGGCACACAATTACTTCGGTCCTCATTCAGAGAAGAGAAAAAGATAATTTCTGCATGATATGAATGTCTGTGTAGAAGAGGGCTGTTAATCGAGAACCGTCGATAACGTCAGCGTTAACGTCTGCAATGGTGAATTTGCATTGTACGATTAACAATCGATTAACAACGCTGGCCCAGAATACTATGGTTTGAATATAGCAATAAAATGACTAAGAACTCTAACTAACAGTAGTCATTAAGGAGATCAATTTCACTAATTTAAAGGAAGAGTGTGTTTGCTCATTGGATAAATTTCATACCATTTAAGTAGCTGTTACTCACAATTATTATAACAAATCAGAATTCTTACTAAATCAAAGTATGAGTTGTTGTATTCCTTATACCTCTATATAATTATCTTGATACTAGTGAATACGTTTGTACACATTACCTTGATCATCAATAAACAATCATCAATACGTTCTGACCATGAGACACTTTAGTTGATAACATGGTGTCAGAAGTTAATCGATTTTAATAGCAATTAACACTTTCGCGGAAAGCAAATCTGATATAAATGCGTAATCGAACTCGCGAAGAATCGTTTAACAGTGGAGTTTCGGGAGTGAGCGAAGTTTCTAGCAACGGTTCGAGAAGTTTTATTTTGCACTTGCGACATAACCTAAAATGAGCAGCATTCCTGTTCCATCACTGCTGAAGCTGGGAGGGGACGACGATGAGGCAGTGAAAATTATCAAGCTGCAATGGAGCTATTATGCGCCAGCCACAAGGGTGAATGACAAGCCAGCACCACAACAAGTCGCAACTTTGATGGCTGTAATTGGTGCCGAAGGCTCAATCTTACGGCAGCAGAAAAAAGTAAAACCGAAACGATTCTGCAGAAACTAGAGCAACATCTAGTCCCAGTTCGCGACCAGCGTGTAGGACGAGCGGAATTCAACGAGATGGGGAAAAAATCGACGAGTTTGTCAAACGTCTGAAGAAAAAAGCCGTGAAGTGTGGTTATACCGGTTATACGGCAGAGCAGGAAGAGGAACTACTCAAGGATAGGATCATAGCTGGTATCCAGGATCATCATATGCGCAAGGAATTACTAAGAGCAGGGAATTTATCCGGCAGGAAATATGAGCTAATGTCATCAAGTAAGGCAAGTTCGAGTGAAACATTCAAAGTGACCACAACGCGGAAACTGGAGAAGCCATGCTTTTACTGTGGAGGAAAGCATCCAAGGGATAAGGAGAAATGTCCGGCATACGAAAACACGTCCGGCAACTGGAAGACAGTGTATCGAAGTCAACGGATTCGGATAGCGAAGAACAATGTGAATATGTCGATATTACGAAAGTTGATAAAGAGGGCTGTAAGGACTCGGACAAGATAATGGTGCAGTTGAAGATAACGGGTGAAGAACGGCAACATCGAACTTTGGACATTCAAGTAGATACTGGAGCTAGAGTGAATATGTTGAGCCACCATGATTTGAAACGTCTTGGAATCGGGTGTCAGCTGTATCGTACGAATGTGAAGCTGCGATGCTATTCGGGGAATATAATTATTCCGAACGGTAAGGTGGATCTCAAAGTGCAACTGAAAGATCGAATCATAATGCTGCCGTTCATCGTTGTGAACGAAAAACGCCCACCACTGCTGTCGTCGAAAGCTACAATCGATCTAGAAATCATCAAGATCCAGGACATATACAACGTCAGCACTCTACAAAAGGAATGTGAACATATTTTAAGTAAGTACTCTGATGTTTTCGAGGGTGAAGGATTATTCCAAGGAACTTGAAATCGACCCTTCGTTGCAGCAGTGCAACAGAAGCCGCGTCGGATTCCGTTGGCATACTTGCCCGACCTGAAAGCAAAAATTAAAGAACTGGAAAGAAAGCAGATTGTCGAACCAGTAAGCAAACACATGGAGTGGATCAGCAATTTGGTCTTGGTGAATAGAGGACCAATCTGAGGGCAACATTGCAGCGATTTAGAGAGCGAGGATTGAAGGTAAACCGTGGAAAAGTGAAGATTGCACTGTCGTCGGTACCCTTTTTTGGTCATGTGTTGGCGGATAAAGGAGTGAAACCAGATCCTGCTAAGATTTCGGCTGTACTGAATATACCAACACCATGGAATAAGAAGGAATTAATGACATTCCTGGGACTGAGCACGTATTTGGGAAAGTTTTTACCGAAGTTAGCGGACATCAACGCTCCATTACGTAGATTAACCAAAAATAACAGTGAATTTGTGTGGGAAAATGAAGCAGAGGAAGCGTTTCAGCCGATCAAGTGCTTAGTAACTCAAGTTCCAATGCTGCAAGCAAGTATGGTGTGGGTTGCGCCCTGTTACAAGAAGGACGACCGGATGAGCGATTCAGGCTAATTGCTAATGCTACGAAAACGGATCACACACCTGGCAAATAGTTACAGCAACAATCAATACGAAACTATCGATTTTAAATTGGCTCACTACTCGACTAGCCTATTGGTACAAGCAAATCGATTAACGTATCCCATTCTAGTCAAAATTCTAGTACTGCACAATGTTTGTTTTGATTCGCCTTGAAAGTTTGACAGATAAAATGAGGGGTTAGAGGGGTTGTTTACCCCCTGACGATAATAGATTAAGGTATTGCCAAAACCAACTTTTCCCCTACATTTTTGCTAAAACCCTGCAATTTTTTTTTTTTTTTTTTTTTATCTTTATTAAGGAGACTTTCAGCCGTTGGCTGGCTCGTCTCCGAACACCCCCCTGCAATTTTGGATCATGCTATTATTTTCAAAATGGAGTATTTGACATTTTTCAATAAATCGTAGCGCGAAAACGTCACTTATAATCGGAATGACGTCTGTAGAGAAATATAAATTGTTTATAAAAAAATTATACACGGTATTTTGTTTTAGTGATTTTGAGGAAATTAAAAAAAAAGTGCAAAAACTCTAAGAAACTATCGATTTTAAATTGGCTCACTACTTGACTAGCCTATGGTCCCAAGCAAATCGATTAACGTACCCTATTCTAGTCGAAATTCTAGTACTACGCAATGTTTGTTTTGATTCGCTATGAAAGTTTGACAGATAAAATGAGGGGTTATTGGTTTTTCGAGGGGTGAATCATTAGCTTGGGACCGAAGAGAGTACCAGAGCTGAGCCAAAAAGTTGAGCACGTTATTTCGGGACCTTCTAGTCTTAGAGTTACCTCTAAGGTACCTCTATGGTAAAATGCCCTTGCTCAATTTTTATATATTTTATTTAAAAGCTTATAAAAAATACAAAGTTTTTAAATATTGGAAACAATGCACAGGGAATTTGGGGAAAAAATAAGATTTTTTGTTACCTAGTTCGTTTATTTGTAAGGCTCAATCGCGTTAGCATTACGGAGCCGATAATTAATTGCTCATTATTTGTAACAAAATTCACTTAATTCTATGTCTAGTAGAAGTTGGGCCGAATACTCACGGGTACCAGAGGTTAGAGGGATACATTGTAGAAGGATACATACTTAGATTTTTATTTGCCGAGATTGGCACCACCGAGCAGGCCGGCATTTTTTTTTCTGAGATCTCAGCAAAATTTATGTTTGGTAGCCGAGATCTCGGGAAAATTCCTGTTTTTTAACTGAATCTCGGCATATTTTTCACTGAGATCCAGCAAAATAGATTGCCGAGCTGCTCGGTGGTGCCCATCTCGGCAAAAAAAATCTAAGTGTGTAGGATCAGGGGAGGAGCTTGAGGGTGAGGTTTCGTTGTTTCATCAGAGCGTTGTCGCCAGTATGAACGGTAGTGCGATTCTAGTTTCGTTTGGAGTTCGACCAGTGGGCGACGATGAGACTCATTGAGACAAGACAAACAAAAACTAATAAAGAGAGACGAAAGACAAATCAAGCTGAACATTGCATTAGGTCCTAAGTAACATTGACAGATTCTCTTCATCGACTTTCTCTTTGTATTCCCACGGTTATGTAAAGACATTCCCAGGTATTTTCAGCACACATATCGATAAAAGAAGCTTTTATCTAGCATCTAATATGACAAACACAACAAGAAACGGTTATGTGGTCAAGTTATTAACGAAAGAAAAAGTCGACGAAGAGAATCGATCAATGTTACTTAGGACCTAATGCAATGTTCAGCTTGAAATGTATTACATTCTTATACTAGACAATTGCAGAAACACTTAAATCAACTGCATACACACAGCAAAAAAAAAATGTAATATTGATCAACGTAATTCAAGCTGATGTATGAAATAATGATGTAATAGCAAAAAGCAGATACAATATTACATCAATGCATGTAATTTTGTTCGCAAAATCGATGTACATCGTACAATGTGATATTACACAACCGATGGATTGACCTGGTTGCAGCAGTTTCGATGTAATATTCAACAACTTTTTTTGCTGTGCACGGACAGAAAATTGTTTGGCCAATTCCGGTTGAAATTATATTGCGTTTTATTGTTTCGATAATACTTATTCAAATAAATTCAAAATAAGATTCTTTTTATTTTAATAAGCCACTCTTACAACTGCAACTATTGTTAAAATAACAATATTCTTTTATTGAGCCAACAATAGTTAGTTTTAATTTAGCATTTATTTGTTGGGTCCGTTCCCCGGGCCATGATTGCAAAAATAACTACCTACCAACGTTCCCGGACAAAAATGTAAACAATAACCCAAAACTGTTCTCGTTTGATTCAGTTTTTTTCGCGTTCGACGTAAATATTGTTTTTAACAGTGAATTTC